TGGCTTTGCTCCTGAGGCGGCGGCGGCGGCTACGAAGGACCAGGCCTCGGCATCCAGCGTCTGGGGGCGCTGGGTGATCGAGGCGCGAAGCTTGTCTGTGGCTGGGAAAGACCGGCATTACCCCACCAGGTGGTCCCATTAACCCTGCCAAGGGACCTGCCGCGTCAGACTTCATCGGGGAAAAGGGCGGGACACGGGCGGTCCCGGGTGCCTAGAAGCCCCCTTTTCGTCTTTCCGCCGTGGTGGACTCCGGCGAGGTTTACTGAGGCGACCTCTGGAGCGAAGATTTCAGCAGCTACCGGAGGCTTCCAGCAAACACGGCGGAGCTGCCCCGCGGGGCAGTCGCAGTGTTCACAGCCCTAGGGTTCTCCAGCTGTGCCTCGTCTCCTCCAGGGCCTCTTTCTTCCTTTTCCTTGCCCTCAGGAATTCCCCTCAAGTCACATCCAACAGCCATCAGTTCCGTTTGGAATGAACCACGGCCAAGTCACTTACCAAAAATTATAAGGAGGAAACCAATTCGGCCACTTGTGTCACGTGCGTTGATGTGACACGTGTGGATGTGAAGTTTGAGATGGCCTGCGTCACAACTCGTTGGAGGGAGTGGGTGGGTTGAGGCCTCCTGCAAGGTCTGTGTGAGGGTGTGGACTACTAATTAGAGTTAAAGAGCTCGGCAGCTTTTTGTTCACTGGCACTGGCCTCCACTGAGAGGGACATGGGGAGGGAGGACACGTCTTTTGCAAGGAAAGAGAGTAAACTGAGATTTGGAGCCCAAGGAAAGTTATCTAACTTATCCTAGGGGAAAAAGAAAACAGGGCTATGACATTCTCTAATTTTTCCTGACTTGCTCATATGAGAGCCTAAGATTTTTCGAATTTGAAGGAAAAGAATAAGCAATTCTAGACAAAACAACACAGTAGTAGTGGGGGACTGGCCAAATGTCCAGTCTGTGTGCATTGTGGTCAGTCTTATCCAACGAAAACAGACCAAAATGATAATAAGTCCAAATCCTGCAAATAGAGCTCCCCATTCCTAACCCCCTAGGCCTGGATTACAATGAAGGGACTAATCCCCACCGCATGCTGGAGACTCCAACGCATCTCTGTAAAAGTGGGAAGAATCTTGGCAACTGTGAAAACAGTAGAAACATTTTGAAAAGTGTTACCTGCATGTCTAAGTTCAAACAGAGGTTTGGGATTGGCAGAGAGATGTACTGAGAGACCCAGCACTCCTGAGCAGTGTAGCTGGGTGTCCAGAGAGGCCTACAGCCCTGAAACTGGGAGGAGCTCTTTATTTCTTGACCTTTTATCTTTTCTTTTTAGAGATGAGGTCTCAGTATGTTGCCCAGGCTGCTCTCGAACTCCTCCCCAGGAGATCCTCCCCAGTAGCTGGGACTACAGGTGTGCCCCATGACACCTGGCTTGGGAGGACCTCTTTAATGATTACCTGTCCAGTTTACCAGCTGACAACAGCATCTGTTAGACCCTGTATACTTAACTTAAAAGAGAAGCGTGACTGAAAAATGTCATTTCACATCCCCCCGCCGGTGCTTTTTCTCAGAGTAAGTCTACGAGGGAAAAATTCGCTGTACTGGAACTCTGGCAGCCCTTTTACAATTCAAAATGTCACTGTGACCCTGTAACATCAGCAGATGAAACACAAAGAGGAATGCTGACCTCAATTTCACTCATAAATCAGTTTTAAAGATCTTAGAAAGAAAAAAAAAAATCTGTTCCAAGAAGCCTGGCCAGGTAGGTATTATTTATCTTACACTCAGTTGGACTAAATCCCCAGGGCTTAATTGCACTGTTACATCTTCTCTGAATTTCTTTTCTCTTTTTTTTTCTTTTTTTCTTTTTTTTTTTGAGATGGAATTTCACTCTTTTGCCCAGGCTGGAGTGCAGTGGCATGATCTTGGCTCACTGCAACCTCTGCCCTTTCGGTTTCAAGCAATTCTCCTGCCTGAGACTCCCAAGTAGCTGGATTACAGGCGCCCACCACCACGCCCGGCTAATTTTTGTATTTTTAGTAGAGACAGGGTTTCACCATGTTGGTCAGCCTGGTCTCGAACTCCTGACCTCATGATCTGCCTGCCCCTGCCTCCTAAAGTGCTGGGATTACAGGCGTGAGCCACCGCACCCAGCCCCGTTCTCTGAATTTCTTATGCATTGTCCACATACTTCATGCACTTCTCCACTTGATTGGCAATCCAGACTGATAAGCACTGGTTTTATTTATGGTGGCATTGCCCATAATCTTGCTCCACAGTCAAGTACTTCTTTAGGCAGCTTTTTGCTTATGATAAAGTAAAAGCTGGCAGCACTGATAAACACAAACAGAAATGGAATATTTTGTAGGGTGCCTTTGAAGTGGACCTGCCCATATAAAAGACCTGAAAATGGGCAGTAAATGACCTTTTTGCAAGTCACATTAAATAACATCCACTGAATAAAGCAAAGGTCATGGTCTTAGTGTAAAGATAAGCCCTCTTTTCCATCAGTGTAAAAAAACATATATACATCAGATTCAACAAAGAACTGCAGCAGGACCTGACTATGGGGAGGTGGGAGAAAATCTTATTTTCACTTCACTTCTCTTTAAACCACTGGTTCCCAAACTTGGAGAGCAAACAAAAACAAAAACAAAACAAACAAAACCCCCCCCCCCACACACACACACACAAACAAACAAAAATAATAGATTTCCAGGCCAGGCATGGTGGCTCATTTCTGTAATCCCAGCACTTTGGAAGGCTGAGACAGGAGGATTGCTTGAGAGCAAGACCAGCCTGGGGAACATAGTGAGACACTGTTTCTGTAAAGAAAAAAAAAAACAAAAAATTAGTCAGGCATGGTGGTTCACACTTGTAGTTCCAGTGACTTGGGAAGCTGAGGCGGGAGGATGGCTTGAGCCCAGGAGATCAAGGCTGCAGTGAGCTTTGATCGTGCCATGGCACTCCAGCCTGGGCGACAGAGCAAGACCCTGTCTCCAAAAAATAGAAATAAAAAGCTGGGCGTGGTGGCTCACACCTGTAATCTCAGCACTTTGGGAGGACAAGGCGGGTGGATCACGAGGTCAGGAGATCAAGACCAGCCTGAGCAACATGGTGAAACCCCATCTCAACTAAAAATACAAAAATTAGCCAGGCGTGGC